TTGTGAAACGTGAGGATAATGAGTGCTAAGAGACTTAAACGTAGTAAATATAACCAATAATCGAAAGTTATATGCAATAACTACTTTCCTTCTTGTCCACTAAGAAAAATGTAATTTCCTCCGACATTTCCCTACACTGGACAGTATTCCAAAACACTTCACCATATTTGCTCTTCCATCGAATCATATCTTATTGTAAGTACTTCGGGTAATTATCCAGAAACACCTCTGTGTTTACATGAATATATAAGTAAAAAGAAAAATAGTTTAGAAAGCGAAAGAAAGAGAATTACATAAGCTTTATATAAACGCCGCCTTTTTAGCCCACGGGGTCCCTCGCCTTTGCAAAATCGTAAACAATTTAGTTAAGCGGGAAAGCGGAGCGAGTTACAGATGTGAAAACAGCTGCCCAAACATGTAAGAGCTGTAACTTGCCAACTCTTTATATTCAGTTCAAACGTACGTTACTCCTATGCATTCCCATATAGGTTTTAGTTCAATTGAGAATACCGCTGCTTAGAATATTGGTTTTAAATGTTCTCGAAGTCGGCCGTCAAACACCTGCTTCTAAATGTTTTGGAAGAAAGTTTTAATGTTCATACAATTACTGTTTAATTGAGCTGAGATTGGATTCATCCTTTTTCGCTTTTCTTTTCAGGGGAAGTCGTAGAACGGATAGGAGAAGCGTCGGCATAATCCAATGAAACTTTATCGAGTAAAATAAACATGATTTATCCTGTTCCAACTTTAGTAAAATTGTTGCGTTTTCAGATTCGGATTTGAATTCAGACTCAGCTTTTGGGGAATGAAGATGTTTTAGGACTTCAGGTCGTTTGTGAAAGGGTGCGTTAATGATCATCTCCTAAATCCTATGTAAATTTGCTTACATTTGTTGGAAGTAATGCTATTTTTTTATTCTGCCTCCTCCTCTTCCTTTTTCTCCTCCTCTTCTTCTGCTTCCTCATCCTTCTTCTCCTCTTCTTCCTTTGTCTACTCCTCTTCCGTCTTCTTCTCTTCTTCCTTTGTTCCTCCTCTCCTCCTCCTCCTCCTTCCTCCTCCTCTCCTCCCTCTCCCTCCTCCTCCTCTCTCCTCCTCCTCCTCCTCCTCCTCCTCCACAAAATTATTATTACTAATATGTTTTTAATTTTGATTGAAAATATACAATATTTACAATGTTTTTCAATGGGGAACTCCTGCAGATACACACAAATGAGTTACAAATTTACTCTCGGTCACTTACGCTCACAGAGATGAAAGCTATCAGTGACAGCTAACTTAATGTTAAGGGAAGATATTAAGACTAGCAGTGTCAGTCATATTTTGATAATGCTGTTATTTTCTTTTTTGCACTTTTGTAGGGAAATCATAATAAGAGAAATATTTCTACCTTCAAAAGTAACTCATAAGTGAATTTATGATTATCAGTATCTGAAGTCATGATGATAGATATGTACAGTGTATGGTTATAATGTACTTCACTTTTAACTTAGTTGCACTAGGATAATGTCCTATCACATTATGGTAGATAGTCCTGGGATAATGTCTCTGTGTCCTATATAGTTGAGCCTCCTCTAAAGTTGCACACACTTAACAGGAATAGCACCTCAGAAGTAGGCTTAATCCCATTTTTTAGCCACATTGCTTAAACATTTATTTATGCAACAGCCTAAAGCATAATAAGCAATAATTTTATGTTTCCTGTACTCCAAATATTTCCACCAAGCAGCTGACTTTACATGCACCCAGACACATTGTTTGGTATGGCAACGGAGGCTCCCATTGTCATTAGGTTAAATTAAATTAAAAGTTTGAAATAGAACATTAAGGGCTGAACTATGAAATGTCAGTACCTGCTGTTGTTCTTGAAGTTGATAATTCATTGTTTATTTGCCAGTCAAACCAGAGTGTTGGTCGATGGCTAGCCCAGGGCACATATAATTAGTTAGCTCCATTTCCATATAGCCTATTGAGCCTGAAAATGAAAATAGACTTTTTCCCAGAGTATTCTGACTGGTATTAATGGTAAGGAGCTCTTAGTTATCATGAATAAAGAAGGGACTTTGGTTTCTGGTAAGCATAACAAAATTGAAGGTAAATCTTTATGATGTGGATACACTAACTTGGGGTGAAGTGAATATGGTGTTTCTTGTAGAGGACAGAAAGTTGCAGTCGTCAGTACAAAAAAAAATTTGCAGACACAAATGGTAATGCCACAAATAAAGTTAAAAGATCATGGAAAGCGTCACTCTCAGTCGAAGTCCACTCGGTGATCTCGAGTTTCGGCTCTATCTTGCCATGGATACTGAGGTGAGGACAAGGTTCCCTGGGGGTGTCTGGAGGCAGAGGCCCCATCACCCCCTCCCCCCTCCCCCTCTTGGGCAGTGACTGAAGAGCACGCCCACACGGAAACTTAGATGTGAATGATTTTGTGACGTGGGAACTTAGTCTCTGGTGAGTGCATAAGAATTCCCAAATTGAGTAAATTATACAAATAATTATT